TGCATGAAATCTGTCAACCACGCTGTCATGGTCGAGGTTGCTTCACCTATCACGATGTATTCCAACCATCATGAGGCTATCTAAATAAGCATTTGTCATAACAGAACGCAAATTATTTTTAATTAGTCTCATTGAATTAATATTATTATTATTATTATTATTATTATTATTATTATTGTTGTTGTTATTGTTGTTGTTGTTGTGGTGAAAAGTTAACACAAACAATATGGTGGCTAAACGAATATTACATGTAAATATTTTTTTTTTATTTGTTTGTTCCCCGACAAACTTTATCGTCTTCCCCGTCAGGGAAGGGAAAATGATAAATTTCCACATCTTCATCATCTTTAATTTAGCCCCTCATCCTCCCTGGCGCCACCAATCATGACATGTGATTAAGATGGCATTTATGAAATGTGATCCCCTCATCATATGTGTTCATTTATAAAAGAAAAACCCTTGTTTGCAATATGATATAATGTCCAGCCTACTGTTTAAAGTAGCACTTCAAATAAAAACGGAGGCATGACCCCTATTTGCATTTGAACGAATAAAAAGGGATGTGGCCCCATTTTTTTGCATATTTAAAATAACTTGCCTATGTAACGAGACATGTGACCACGGTACGATTTCTGAAATCCCCTTACTACTGTTATTAGTAGCACTTCAAATAAAAAGAGGCGTTGCCACCAATTGTGTGCATATCTAAGCAAATCTGCACATGAACAGACATGTGACCACAGTGTGATTTCTAAAATGTTATCCCCTCGTCATATGTGTTGATTCATAAAGAAACACCCTTGTTTGCAATATGGCCTAGCCTACGGTTTAACAGTAGTGCTTCATATAAATATTTTTTGCATATTTAAACTAATTTGCATATGAACAGAACATGTTCATTTATAAAGAAAAACCCTTGTTTGCAATATGTTCAGATGGCCTAGCCTACGGTTTAAAAGTAGTGCTTCAAATAAATATTTTTTGCATATTTAAACTAATTTGCATATAAACAGAACGTGTTCATTTATAAAGAAAAACCCTTGTTTGCAATATGTTCAGATGGCCTAGTCTTCGGTTTAAAAGTAGTGCTTCAAACAAATATTTTTTTGCATATTTAAACTATTTTGCATATGAACAGGACATGTTACGACAGAGTGATTTCTGAAATGTTATCTTCTTATCATATGTGTTAATTGTATAATGTTTTTAACTATAACAAGGAGCAATTTGAGCGAATTGTTAAGAGGAGCAACGATGTAGGCCTATTAAGGAAGACATGGAACTGGATTAAGTAAATAAAATTATGCGATAATCGTTTGGATATTTACGATAACCCCATTACATTTAAAATATTAAATTTCAAAAGTAGTTTTATGTTACGAATGCCAAAATCAAATACTTGCTGATACAGGAAGTCATTTATTTCAGATGCAATATTCAATTTCAATGTTATAGCAAAACGATAGGATTTTAAATTTCCAATCTTTGTTAAGATTCGTCTTCTACACGAGAATACGGAACGATTGAAATCCAGCTTTTCGTTCTGGTCGAGAACGGCATTAGAAACTTTGTCGCAACCTGGCTGATGTTTTGATACTCTATTTTTTTCAACTTTTGTCAAAAACATTACCAATGGCTCCTGTTTAAGTTGATCAGAACAGTAATGTATTCGTCTGCCAAGCTAACTCACACGCGTTGTTTGTTACCATCCATCCATCCATCCATCGGTAAATTTTGTATTTTGGTTTACAGCTACTGGTGGTGATATGTTTGGAACCCCGCAATAAGGATAATAATGAGGGATGCAAAAGGAAACTGATTTGTCCACCAATACCGCAGTGTTGTGCCTGCCACGCTGGCTGGGAAGGACTTAAATGTGAAAGTAGTACCGGTAAGTTTGCAACGGTTTAAAATTTACAAATTCTTCTTTCAATTTAAACCGAGAGTTCTCAATAATCGTTTATGGTAAAGTTGGAGGTCACATAACATATGTAAAATATCTGTTTCCTGAACTTAAACAATTAACATAATCAACCAACTAAAAAGATAATTAAAAATTATATTATAATTGTATGTTTTAAAATAATATATAGTACAAACTTCCACAACAATTGTTAAATTAATATAATAACATTAATATTATCTCGTTCTATAACTTGGTAAATATTCACGTGCACGTCATTAAAAGATCAATCTATTACCAATATAAATAATGTAATAGTCTGACAGTCTACAATATGTCAGTAAGTTCGACTGTTAAACAAAAATACTTATAAAGCAAAAAAGCCGTCGTTTATATATTTATAACGATTAGA